AAAATTAATTAAAGTGAATCTAATAATACTTGTCGCATGACGATATAGTAAGAATTAAAATAATGCTTATAAAGCACTGAGGACAATAATGTTCACAAAACAAGTGTCCAGTAAATGTTAGCTATTTCTATGAGTAATATTTTTATTAATGGTGTAGATGGTCTCAAAACTAGTTAGTGTTTGAGCAATATTTTTATTAATGGTGTGGATGGTCTCAAAACTAGTTAGTGTTTGAGCTAGAATCTGAACCCAGGTCAGTTACACACGATAGCCATACCATTGCCAATAGCATGGAGAATACTGATGACACTATACGGTCTAGTTCAGCAGATTAAGAGAGCCACAAACTATAGCTTATAATAGTGCAGTGAAAGAAGAGTATCATCATAATCTGAGTAGGCAGGAAAATTAGTTGAGAGAATATACCTTATTTCGCAAGAGAGAAAATGAAGGTATGTATGAATTGCAGAGGATGGGTCGGAAAGATTTGAGAGTGAAGGCAGCACAAAAGAGAAGCTTGGGGGAAATTTAGTGCCTCCTTCTAAGAATATTCATTAGTCCCCCTCTAGTCTTGGATAGAAACACTTAAGATTTTTTCAATGTAAGAAAAACACAATGAAATAATAGCTTCAAATACCCACTACTAACAATTGCTTGGCCTTCTTATATAGACCTCCCGAGGTTCTCATTTTTTGCATTTCAGGAGTAGAATCAATTAAAAACTAATCTTTATATGTAAGGGATGACAGAGAGAAAGACGAGGGTGTGTGTGTGCACACATGTGTGTGCATATGGTGGGTAGTAATTTTAATTCAGTGATTTGCTAGAGTTCGATGCCATTTGCTGATAAATGAAGCAGGAAGAAGAGCCAAGTTTGGAAGGGAGGAGAGAATGAGTTCTATTTGTCTCATACAGAGGTTGAAGTAACTGAGTGATGATGGGTGAAGATGTCCCTCAGGGGTTGCCATAGTATTTTATTTACCTTTTATTCACCACGTGAAGCATGGAGCTTTGTTCTCCAAAGTGCTATCAATTATGTTTTTAAATTACAGGTTTGATTGCTTCACTGTATTTTCACATTTCATTACTACCTTTACACTTAAAACCAGAAACTTTGCCACAGCATTAAAGATTCTGCTAACTTTTAAAACATAGAACTCTGGAGATGCCATAATTAGATTGCAGATTTATGAGTCTTCTGGATATAAGTGCTATTTAAAGCCATGAGAATAACCAAGATATCTCAAGGAGAGCATAAGAAAAGCAAGGAAAGAAGAGATACTTCTTGGGAGAAAAGCAGACTCCTCTAGAATCCCACAATTTGTAAGGTAGAGAACAAAACCATTGTTTGACAAACAGAAAAAAAGAAAAAAAACACCTCACAGAATAACCATCATTGAAGCTAATGAAGGAGAAAGTTTCAAGGAGGGGGAGGTAAACATTGCCAAAAGTTGAGATGAGGGAGAGAAAAACAAATCTGAGATTAAACTGAGATTAAAAATCACGGGTGACATCATTTGGAGGATTTTCAGAGTCATTAGGGAAAGAATTCAGATTGTTACTGAAGGTGAAGGAATAATAAACAAAAGCGGATTGTTCTCCAAAGGAATTTTTATCCTTATAAAAGATACAGCAGGAAATTGAGAAAGAAACAGGGTTTATGTCTTGTATCCCTCACTATCACTATCAAAGCACAAGGCTAATTATGAAAACTATTCAATATATCCTGGTTGAAATGAATGGTTTGGAAATATCTATATAAAACTGTGGGAAGCTTTTATTGTTGAGTTAGAGTAAAACTTGAGTATTGCAGACTGCAAAAAAGCAACCAATGGTACTAAACAAGATACTAAAGAGGGAAAGGAATTTTGTTGGCATTAAATGAGAAGAGATGGAAAATGATTTATTTATTAAAAGCAAAGCTCCTTGCTTCCAGTGGTCAATAAAAGGTGAATAAAATGTTTAGAAATGTCTGGTTCTTGATGCTCTGCAAAAATTTAAGTTCATTACACTTTCCACGAAATTCAAGATTTTCATGATTTGACCTCTGGTGCTTTCTCTAGCTTCATTTAGCCTCACATTTAAGACTTCGATACATCCCTTCTCTTGTAGTTATCCAACAAACTGCCTTATGTTATTCTTTCATTCATGTCTCTCCTCATGTTATCAATGGCACTGCAAAAGCACACTTCTCCTGTTTTTCATCTTTATAAACTCACATCTACCCATCAAAACTTCACACAGTTATAAGTCGTACAGTCTGTTAAAATTCTTGGAACTGGCTCTTCTTGACACAAACAGACACATTCATGTATGCACACACTCCAAATCTGCCACTCCACACTATTATCTCTTCTGTCTTATCTGTTAGATACAACCTATTCTTATACACTCTACAACCAGTAGCATTTATCTGTTTGTCTGTTTGTCTCTGACACTGCTGATATACACTGTCTGGCATGTAGTGGATATTTAAAATTAGTCATTTTTTATTTTCAGTAAGAGTCCCTAGACTCTTGACACAGCAAACTCGGCTCCCTGTATATGTATACATATAGTTCAGTTCAGTTTGAACTGAACCAAGTGTTCATGGTTGATAGTCAGGAGCTAAAGTGGAGTTATTGGCTGTGGAAAAGAATAAGGTACCCTCTTGTCTCTGAGCCCAGAGTGAATGTAGGAAGGGTGCAAGAAGATATGGTTGTAGAGTGATGGAAAGGAGAGAAATCATTTCTTTTTTGCTGGGCCCAACACAGATCAGGTCAAACTATATACACTATGGTTTTCTTTTGTTTTGTTTATGATCTCTCAGCAAGAAGGAGGAAAAAACTGCCAAGAAGAATGAAAATAGGCAATGAATAAATTGTTGAAATGAAGTAATGGGAACCGTGAAGAAGTTAGGATGAAAGAGAAATTATTCAAATAGCAATTAAATTTTTTAAAGTGGTTACATAAAATTTCCTACAACACAATGACAAAAATTACAACTCAGACATTGCATGGGAATTAAAAATCATGAAAGCCTGAATTAATTGACATAAATGAAGCCCCTCTGTACTTTCATAACCATTTGTATTATTCATCAATGTATATGAGATCTTGAAGTTACTGAACAATGGTTCTGCTCTCTCTCTCTCTCACTGGATTATAAACTCTCTAAGAGGGGTTTTATTTGTGTTGTCCTTTAGCTTCTAACACAGCACTATGTAAGATCCAGATACTCAGTTAATGTCCCTGAGAGAGTAAAACAAGATCAAGAGAAGAAGTGTTACAAGTGCATTACTGCTCAACACTTCTACACAGGCCATTCTGAAAGCCTGGGAATTCTTCATCTCAACTTATATAAAACGCAGAAATCTTTCAAGCACTGGTTTTTCTAGAAAGCCTTCTCCAAATTCGACAAACCACTGAATGCTCTCTTTCTGTTAATTCCGTTTTAGTGTGTTTTGGTTTATAAAAATTATTTTATCGTATTTCTAGTTGACAAATAATATGGTATATATTTGTGGGGTAAAATGTGATGTTGTAATACATGTATGCATTGAGGAATGATCAAATCAGGCTAATTATCATATCCATCACCTCAAATATTTATCATTTCTTTGTGGTGAGAACATTTAAAATTCTTTTTGTTTTCTTGGAAATATACTATACATTAACTATAAGTCTTATTTCTCTAAGAGGTTTGATCATACATTTTAGATATTTTCATCACTCTCCTGATGACACGTTATTCCAGAATCTAAAGCTATAGTTTCATTATTTGGTCAAATCGTGTAACCTAAAATTTCTTATTGTTCCTCTAGTTTTCTGTTAATTTTAGTTAAATCCCTACCCTTTTTTTCACTAAGACTTCTTTCGGTGATCCTTGAGGTGGCACTTCATCAGGGTGAATGTGTGAGTCTGGATACGTTGAGGTTCCTCTCCATCCTCTCTTTTATCAACACTTACTGTCAGCCACCCAGCACCCTTTCTTTTCCCCTGAAGAATAGTTACCCTGCAACTAGCTATCTCTCATTGATTGAGCCCTCTGCAGCCAAAGCCCTAATCTCTGATTTTCCCTTGACCCCCATCTTCAACTCACCCATACCCATCTACCTTTCTGCAATTCCGTACTCAATGAAAAAAAAAAATGTGATGTTTGCAATAAAGTTATACTTTTTCCTCCCGAAACAAAACAGTAACATTCCATTAGTTATCTCCTAAGAAGTATGTCTTAACAAAATAGAGAGATTCCGTTCTGGAGAACTAGTCTTCAAGCGGACTGAAGAGAGAACTGTGTTGGAAGGTGGCAGCACACTCTATCAGGTGGGGGCCGCCTCCTGTCTTCTTAAGCCTGGTGGGAGGTCTGTATTCTAATTCACCATCTCTTCCAAATGTGACGCCAGGTATCACATTGTAAGGGTTTATTTAATAGTTAGATGCTGAAGCCATTTATTTGTCACTTCCTATGTGTGACTTTGTATTATAATGATCTCTTTCTTCATATTTTCTGGCTTCCCAAATTGTCTGTAAGCTTCTCTGCTTTCCACACTTACGACCAATGTAATATTGCTGTTCCACAGCTCCAGTGAATTTTTCTCTGGCGATAACCATAGAGGAAAAATAACGCACTACCTCTTTAGCACAATTTCAACATGCCAGAAAGAATGAAATATGATTGGCAAATTTGGGGTAAAGTGTTTATTATTAGTTCGGTTATCTATGGCTAGAATGATCAGAGGACTGGTCACATGATATAAACACAGCTGCCAGCAAAGTGCCCTAGAGAAGAAAGATTGTACACTGAGGCAAATTCAAAGACAAAGCAAAGTATCCACTACAGCAGTTGAAATCTGACATTTTTTAATCAATTTAAATGAGTCATTCATAGTTTCATATTATATAAATACTCATGTCAGTTTTCTGTACAATAAAATTATTTTAATTCGATCAATACACAAACGAACGTAGCTTTTTTTTTTGTTTTAAGCTCTCACCTTGTTCTGTACTTTTAATTCAGCATGTCAGCTTTGCAGACTATCACCTCCACTTCCATCATTTTCCTGCTCACTGGTGTTCCTGGGCTGGAAGCCTTCCACACCTGGATCTCCATTCCCTTCTGCTTCCTCTATGTAACTGCTCTTTTGGGAAACAGCCTGATCCTCTTCGCTATCATCACTCAGCCCAGCCTCCATGAACCCATGTACTATTTCCTCTCCATGCTGTCTACCACTGGCCTTGGCCTATCCATATCCACTCTGGTCACCATGCTGGGTATATTCTGGTTCAATGTGAGGGAAATCAGCTTTAATGCCTGCCTGTCCCAGATGTTCTTTATTAAATTCTTCACTGTCATGGAATCCTCGGTGCTGTTGTACATGGCTTTTGATCGTTTTATGGCCATCTCTAATCCCCTTAGGTATGCCATAATTTTAACTGACTCCAGAATAGCTCAAATTGGAGTGGCAAGTGTCATCGGGGGGATCCTAATGCTGACACCAATGGTAGCACTTCTTATAAGACTTTCCTACTGCTACAGCCACGTACTCCACCACTCCTACTGCTACCACCCTGACATGATGAAGCTGTCATGCACAGACACCAGAATCAACAATGCAGTTGGGTTGACTGCCATGTTCCCTACTGTTGGTGTAGACTCAGTTCTCCTCCTCCTTTCTTATGTTTTGATCATTAGGACTGTCCTTAGCATTGCTTCCCCAGAAGAGAGGAAGAAAATCTTCAGCACATGTGTCTCCCACATTGTGGCTGTTGCTATAGATTACATTCCATTGATCAGCCTGTCCTTTGTTCACAGATTTGGGAAACAAGCCCCAGCCTATGTACATACTATGATTGCTAACACCTACCTGCTGATTCCCCCTGTAACGAACCCCATCATCTACAGTGTGAAAACCAAACAGGTATGTAGAGCTGTGATAAAAATTCTCCATTCCAAAGAAACATAGAATTGTAGAATTCCAGCACTAGATGGACCCCTCAAGATGGTATACTTCAGGTCATGTTACCAATTAAAAACAAAAACAACCAAAGAACTGGTGCCCATTGAAGCTAAGCATATAATCATTTAAAGTTAAAGCTGGAATGCATCTAGAACATCAGCTAGTTTGACTACTTTATTTCCCAGATGAGGAGGTGAAGACATGGAATGGAAGAGATGAACAGCCTAAAATTAGCCTTACATCTAAAAATTCTCCTTCTCACACCACTGTTGGGTCCAAACTGTTGTTGCCTTCTGTCCCTGCCGACAGCCTTTCTATTATTATCTCATCTACTTCATAGCAGTTAGAATGACACATTATAGAAAAGTCACTCCTGTGTGAGAAATAGGTAGTATTTTCCAACTGTTCTAGTAATTTCGATTGCCATTTATTATTTGCTCTGACAAGTCATGGTTCTAAGTGTTTTTTATGTGTATTAACACATTTTATATCTAAAACAATGTTATAAGATAATCACTTTTATTATCAATAAGAAAATTGAAGCATGAAATGTTACGTAGCTTGCTTAAACAGCTAGTAACTGGTGTTGCTGATGGCAGAGCACATCCATGCAGACTGACTCCAGAGCCCCCCACACTCTTAACTTTAATGCTATATTGCTACCTATAATATAATATATAGGTATATAATTTATATATAATTTATATTTCCAAAAATTATATGAATATATATATAAACTTATATTTATAAATTATATGCTTATATATAAATTATATTTATATTTATAAATCTAAATATAGAGAGAAGTTCAGGTAATTTTTACTAGGAAACATAAAAAAGTAAAACAATTAATTTTTAAAAACCACCACTCTAACCTCTAGAAATTTTCAGTCAAATTAGGGAGAAAAAGCCCAAATCAAATCTTCAAACCTTACAAATATATTTCTACTTGATGATCGTTCCTGACTCAAGCATATTTCAGTATTTCTCTCAGCCCTCCATCAACAATCTGCCCCAACAGAAATGGAAAGTGACTACAAATGAATTATGGTCATTTACTTATGTATTTTTAAATTTGTGTCATAATAGTCATGTAATGGCTTAATCCAGAAAGAGAATTAGTTCCACCCTGGGTATGTCCATTAATTCTCAAAATTTTTAAAGCATGTATTTCAATGCCACACTAATATCACTAATTTAAGATGGGCTTTATAGATCCAGAAATGAAGTAGAAGTAATCATTCATATCTACCGGCTTCCCCCCTCACTTTATGCAGATCTCTGCCAACTGCACCTTATTACAGGGCCTTTGATGTTATAATAATAATAATAGTAATACCTTTCCCTCAATTTCTTCCTATATTCACTCTCATCCTTACCTGCCTTATTTTTAATTTTTAGCATTTTTATTCCTCAACGTATTACATATAGGCTGTTTCTTTTCTGGTTTCCTCATCATTCCCTATAGGGAATTTATTAAATGACTATAGTACTTATAGTACTGTAAGAATTATGTCAAATCCTCAGCCTGTTTGATCACAACATTTCAGTTTCAATTATTGTCAGTCTTCATCTTAATATGTTGGCATGTCCTGAGACTTTGTTCTCAGACCTTTATGCTTTGTCATAATCCCTTCCTTGGTCATCCCATTCAGTATTATGTCTTTAAGTACCATCTCTATGCTGACAAAATCCAAATTAATATTCGTAGTTCAGACTCATCCCACTGCCTATGTATCAGTATCATTACTTGAATGTCTCATAATCATCTTAGAATCAACATCTAATATACACTAATATTCCCATCAAGGAAAAAGCATGCTCACCCACAGTCTTCCCTAACTCAGTAACTCTACCTTCCAGTTTGTTGAGACAAAGCACTTGTAGTTATCCCTGATGCCTTTCTATCACTCCTATGCTACATCTGCATGTTCTGGCAACCCTTTCTTCTAGATATCTCAGATATTGATGTCTAAAATCAAGTCACTTTATACCACTTCTACTGCTACCACTGTGATGCAAGCCATCATCTTGGACCTAAATTATTATAACAGCCTTCTGGTGGGTCTTCCTTCATCCACATTTGCTTTACAGTCTATTTTCTCCCATAGTGAAGTTAGACTGATTAAACTAATCAGTTTAATGCACAAGGTAGATCAAGTTCAATATACCCCAATGGCATCCTGTCTTACCTAGGAAAAATTCACAGTCACTGTAAAAGCATATAAAGATCTATATGATCTATATTCCCTCCATCAGCCCAATATTATCTTCTACTGCTCTGCCAGTGATTCACTCTATGTCACCCACACTAGCTTCCAAATATTTTCTTAAACTCATCAAGCATGCTTCAACATCAGTTTACACATGCTATTCTCACTACCTGGAATGTTTGTCCTCCAGAGACCCACATGACTTACACTTCACTTTATATAGATCTCTGCTCAAGTGCACCCTATTACAGGGCCCTTGATGTTATAATAACAACAACAACACCTCTCCCTCAATTCCTGCCTGTATTCACTCTCATCTTTATCTGCCTTACTTTTAATTTTTAGCATTTTTATACCCCAGTATATTACATAAATGTTATTTATTTTCTGGTTTCATTACCACAACATAATGTTTTTGAGAATAAAGAATTGGTCCATTTACGCTATCTCCCAGCCCTAAAATAGGGCCTGCCACATAGTAAAAATAGTAGAATGTCTTAATGATCTGGCTCTGTTTACCTCTTAAGCTTCATTGCTTCCCCTCTGTACAATGCCCCAGAGACAACAAACAACCTGCATGTCCTAAGTCCCAGTAAAGAATGTCCTGTCCCTTTTAAGCCTACCTCCACCTAGAGCATTCTCACTCTGTTCCTTCTCCTGACTTAGAATAGAAGGGGCTCTCCTTCAGGGACTTTTCCTGACCTCTCTGGTCTGTCTGGTGCCCTTTCCAGGTGCTCCTGCAGCACCTTGTTCTTCTCTCTCAAGACAACTCCTTCCAAACTCTCTTGTCACCATTCTCCCCACAACAAACTCTGAGCTCACTTCTTGGGGTCAGGGACTGGGTCTATTCACTGTTGTTTCCACATTTCTATCTATAGTGTCTGCTCCATTGTAACTTTTACTCTTCATTGAATTAATGAATTAATAGTGTCTTTGATGCGTAAGGATTTTGATGGCATACAAGAAGATAACAAAGTTCTCCTATACCAGAAAGTTCTTCGTATCTACAAATATATTTTTGTGAAATTTCACATTTTAGAGAATACTGTGCCAAGTACTGCTATTTGGTATAAAAAGTTCACTCTTTTTCATATGATCTAGTATACCCTGATCCTAATCTTGTGAAGCCTTATTCCCACTTTCCAACATAAAACTTGCTTTGTCTAGTGAATGAATGTAGGTAATAGTAAAACTTAGGAGGCCACTTTAAAGGGGTGATTTATATTTTGAATAAACTGCCAGTTTATTTCTACATATTTCTTTCCCCTTCTATTCCCTAATATGTACCCCCACAGATCATCTTTACATATCTGTAACTCACAATGAAGCAAAAACAAAAATCCAGAGAAGCTACAGGCAGATCTGAAGTGGAAAGATGGAAAAGCTCAGATGATACAGGCCTACAGACTAGGGTTATGTTTATTTGTTTCCATACACTACTATTACAGAAGATAGCAAATAGAGCTGAAGGAAAAGGATGGAGATACTCAGAGTCCTAAAAATAGAAAGGAGAAAAAGGAACATCAACCTCAAGGACAACTGAGATGTTCGCACAACTTCTGCAGATTCTCTTCCCCCACCTCACCTCACAAATGCTAACCTGTGGATAGTCCTTCTGTCCAACAATCCTGGCAGCTTATAAGCTTCCATCTATAGGAAATTGATAATGTAGATACCGAGACTGGGTGGGTTGCAGAACAAATGTCATGCTCTGACCAAGATGCATAAGCTCACAATGAGTTGGGGACTTTCCTAAAAGCCAGAGCACTAGTAGTGACCACTGGCCACTGTTGTAGCTACTTGAACATGGTAGTGGTGGTGAAGATGGAAATAAGAGGAAACATGCAAAAGATTTTTAGAAGGAAAAATAGACAAGATCGGTTGAATAACTGAATGTGAAGGATGAGGAAATGCTACGTATCTTAAGTTTTGTCTCACATAACTAAACTCATAAGCACATCCACTTCATCCTCCTAAAATTCACCCTCCTAACAGCTTCTGGAATAGCAATCTGAAACACATGTCTATTTGTGATGTCCCTGCTTAAAACCATTTATTCACCTCCCAATTCCTACAGGATGAAGTCCTTGAGTTCACAGCCTATCATCAGTTCACATCCATTGACCTCTTCAATTTCTCTTTCCTTTTTGGTTGATTCTATGCTTCAGCCAAGCTACAATTGTTCATAATTCCTCTATAGAAAATTCTGTTTCTTTCATGATTTTCTGTCTGCTGAAATACGCTCTTTTTGGACCCACCCAATGACTAAATAAATACCCCTCTCAAGTTCCCACAAAAATCTGTGGCATTCACTGCTCTTTCATATTATTTCAGGTTTCTTTGGGTAGGTGTCTGTGAATACTTTGAAGGCAAGGGCTTTGTCTTATTCACCTCTGTCACCCTAAACTCAGCACAGTACCTGCACAAAACCAGCATTGAGAATGTGCTTATTACACAATGAATGAATTAATTAACTCCATTGCCAGATATAGGTGACCAACAAATACTTAATGGCTGATTGATAAGAAAGTAATTCTGTTTCTGTGTTCAAAGATTACGGTGATGATGACAAGGTAAGACTCATGTGTGAGGCATACTTAGAAAGGATGGCAGATAGAACAGGTTAGTGTTAAATATTAATAAAGTATGAAGGTAACTCTGCTGGGTATGACGTAGGGGACACGTCACTGGAAGAGAGCCATCAAGCATCCTGAGGTACTGAGGATACCTCAATATCCTGGAGAAGGTGGTTGGGGTGGTTTTTTTTTATCTATTTTGCTTATAACTTTGTAA